GATGAGCATGGGGGAGCCTCTTATAGATTCTTCTATGTGCAACAGTGGGGGGGTGCGGGGGTCTGAGGGGCGCTCCAGAATGAGCTGACAGCTCCCCAGGCGACGGAGACATCTTCATCTCGCCTCACACTGTATTCATGTCACTGCCGATTTCCACGGAAAAACTCTGGCTTTTTATTCTACGGTGCACTTTTTTTTTTTTCTTCAAATGCATTTTAAAAGACTTAACCAACCCCCAAAACACTGCAATGAAGAAATAAATGAATGAATAAACAGAAATACAACTTCAAGCTATAAAAGTGGCTCATTCACTGTGAGGCCACCGTCCAAAGTTTTATTTGCATATGAAATTTCAAAATTTCCATGTGCAATTTATCCTTGGACTGTATGTTGTTCAGATACGTATGGACTCGTCTTTTAATGGGGAGAGATATCTTTGAAGGAAACGCCTCATTGACAGTCACCTAATGACAAGTTCATTCATGTTGTAAAATAACAAGATACTCATTGCATCATACGCTCTCGAACTGCGCTGCACTATATCGAATCAAACCGTTTCAACAATAGCATCCACCCATGGTGAAATGTGTTGTTTTTCAGGTAATGTTTAAGAAACGGTTATCATGGGATCTCACGTCAACTTACTGTACACTCAAACCGACATTTGGTACCTCATCAAAACTTCTGAAGCTCTGGCAGAAGAATGCTAATGAACACCCCTGCTGGCTTGGTCTGTTACGTGTGGGCTCTTGGCTAACTTGACAGGGATTTAAAAAATGTTTTTTTTCCTTTACAGGATTACTGTGCAAGTAAATTTGGCGCCATCGGCTTCCATGAGTCCCTGAGCCACGAAATTAAGGCCTCAGAGAAGGATGGCATCAACATGACGTTGGTGTGTCCTTACCTGGTGGACACGGGCATGTTCAAAGGATGCAGGATAAGGTGAGTCTTTTTGTGTTTGCGAGAACGAGGCTTTTTGGTGCACCTGGCAAGAGTTTGCGCTCTCTGATTTTCACCCCATAAAAAGGGCTGACGGGTAGCGTATGATCTTCAAAGTGGCGGTCAGAGTTGCCTCTTTTGTGCCTCGCAACGCTTTCCCAGGGAGCCTTGCCAGTAGGTGCACCTGGCGCAAAAAGCTCCGCCTACCCTGTCATCCAACTCCTTCCACCTTCCCAGTTCAGTCACCAGGCCCTGAAAAGAAATGGCATACGTGTTAGGTTTGGAAAAAATATCCAAGAATACGGATGGGTGAAAGGTTTTGAACTTTTGTCATTCGCAAATCTAATACGTTTGATTTGTGTGTGTGACACTACAATACATATAGAGTGTATTTCTGTGCATTTTAAAGTTGAAACAATTTCTTGGAGTTCAAATATATTTTTGGTTTTGTAAAAGTGAATTTGAATAATTCAAGGTATTTAAAACATTTATATGGTGTCTCTATACTGCATATAGTCACCTGTTGTGTGTGGGTCTGGAATGACAAACGAGGTTATTCAATTCTCGATATAGTGTTTGGGGTTAATTCTTGGCTTTTATCCGTGCACTCAGGAAGGAGATCGAACCCTTTCTGCCTCCCTTGAAGCCTGAATTCTGCGTCAAGCAGGCCATGCGCGCCATCCTCACCGACCAGCCCATGATCTGCACGCCCCGCATTGTCTATATGGTCAACTTCATGAAAAGGTGAGCGCCTCCGCCCTCATGACGCCACCATAGCAAACGTCACCACTAAGCGCCTGTGTCTCCCGCCTCCGCAGCATCCTGCCCTTCGAGGCCATCGTGTGCATGTACCGCTTCCTCGGTGCCGACAAGTGCATGTACCCTTTCCTGGCGCAGCGGAAGGAGGCCATGAACAACAACGAGGCCAAGAACGGGATCTAGGGGGCGCTGTCTGCAACACAAAAGATGGAGGGGGTTGGGCGGGGGGTGGGGGGGGGTGACGCCTAATCCTGCAAGCACGAGGAGATGACCACTGAAAGGGCGGGGTGGGGGCTTGGGAAGAAAATGGCGGCAAGGTGAAAAGACTGAATCTGGGCTGGTGCACTTGCATTGAGCAAATGCAAAGGTTTACCATATTGTTCCTCTGGGACAAAGAAAGCTGTGTACTACACAATGGATTTATTTGTCATTGGTGTGTGTGTGTGTGTGTGTCTGTGTGTGTGTGTGTGTGTGTGTGTGTGTTTTTAAAGAAACAACTATACTGTATAAAGTCACTAGTTTTGAAGCGGTATCCAATAATTAACTATTTAGTCGCCAGCCTTATCTAGTGTCAATGTGGAACTATACAGTATGTTACTGTACAGACAGTAAAACAAGAAACCTTTCTTCACTCTTTTTTTGTAGACCTGCACTGTAATTTTCTAAGCTTTCTCGACACTGCCTATTCTGAAATACACATTAACGATGAAGTTACATATTATAAGGGAGCCCTAAAGTTTCCCTTCATGAATCAGTCCAGTCACCTCTCAAATGGAGAATGTGTATGTTCATGGCGTAGTTGTATCTGTTACTAGGTGATTGCTGGAGGGAAACAGATGAAAAGATTTCATTTTCCTTCTTCACCCCCCTCCCCCACCCTCAAAAAAAGTAACACTGTGCTGTCAGTTTGTCCAGTTGAAAATGTGTTGTGAATGTTGTGAGTAGCCCAGTAACCCAAATGACTGTCTCCCTATACTGTGTGTCACGTATGGATATTTGCAATATGGGGAGGACACCGTTTTTAAAAGACATTCCAATAGGCGTCATTCCTTCGGTCACAGCGATGAGCCTAAATTCTCTACCTCTTTATTTTGCCTTTTTATTTTTTGACAGTATGACTTTTTTTTTTGTAGTTTCCTGCAGACCACTCCATAGCAAAGCAAAGTGTGGTTCCGATGTTTAGTGTCTCTACCTAACTTAAATTAATAAAATGATTTAGATTATTATGATGTGGTGTTTTGGGACTGCTTCTTCATTACACAACGTGTGAAAAGCTTGTGCGCTTTCTCAGAACGGGGTGACTCACCCGAAGAGAACTTCTGTCTTCTCCGTTACTCTTTGTTGAGGTGTTCTCGTCATTGCGCCTCACCAACTGAGTCAACCTTGGGTGTTGCGGTATCAGCCTGTTGTCTTTTGTTCGGAAACACAACAATAGGATATGATGAGGATGACACAAATCAGTGGTTTGGCATTGCGTAATATGGGGCTAGCGAAACAAACTGTCAAATAGTGTACATTGTGTATACACACACACACCGCATTATGTGACACTACGAAAATATTTGAATTTACATCCATTCATGTATAATCCCAAGGTAAATGTGAATCGTTACCTCTGTCGGCATCTGTAGAATTTTCCTCCGTTCCTTCATCCTGCTGTTAAGACCAGCGCAAATTAAGAGGACTTCCAAGACGGTCAATGACATATAATTCAGTTGGAAAAATCGATGAGCCCAACATTTGCGATCAGACAGCGTGGACCCGCACCGCTGCCACATTGATTTTCTTCTATTCTGGGCATCAAGGTTCACTTCCTATATTGGCTCCTTCGAGCGCAGCGATTCATCTGGGGCCTGAGCATGGCCTCAAGCAGCTCTGCCAGTGCATGAACAAGCTTCTGGAATTGAGATGTGCCACTAATGTGTGTGAACAGCCTTGGCGCTACTCAATGGCGAGCAGATGGAGCTGCCAGCTGAGTCCATTAGTCAATGCAACTGAATTAAGAGCAGCGCTGCCGCCGCCTCCTTCGCTTCTTCCTCTGGCCGGCGAGAAGGCAGAGGCCGCCGAGGTGCTGTTAGAAGGTGGCGCAGGTGGCATGCTCGCAGGCACACGCGATGGGAATGATGCTGCATGTTATGTCATCTTTAAAGATCAATAGAAGGGAAAAAAAAACCTAAGGAAGAAAATCTGCAGGGGAAATCAAATTCTTTGGCTTTATTTGATTAAAATCGACACATCAAGCAATTTTATATTGCTCATATACAGCAGGCGTAGTTCTTTCAGAAAAAAACTGCTCCATCACAGCTTTCTGGAAAAGGTGATCAGGCAAATAGTTTTTTCCACAAATCCGACATTGACACGGAGCAGAAAGTACATGAAATCATTTTTGGAATAGTGCTGTGAAGTGGAATTTGGTCACTATTTTTGTGCAAAATTATTTATTTGCTTCTCTTTGTAACTCAAAGCTCTTTATAAAACCAGTTTAATATCATTATTAGTACAATCGAACCTCGTTACTATGTACCTCAAGGGACATAGCAAACCTGTACGTGAACAACCGTTTTAAAAGTAGTTAATGAGTGTTTTTTTTTTTTTTAAACGTTACTGTCAAGCGAGGCTAATTTATTTTTACAACTGTGTGACAGTTTAGAATGTCATTGCATGGTTTATAGGGGGTGGGGGTCCTCAGTAGCTCAAATGTGTACACAATCGAACACTAACGCAGTAGTAAAGTGCCAATTGCGGTAAGTCCTGAGTGCGCCCTTTCTTGTTCTGAACCAATGACAAAAAGACAAAAGAAGACAAAGACATCTTTTTTCCACATGAACTGAGGTGTTTTTACTGCATTTCAACAACAGCAAGCCTACCCTGTACATACACTGCACTCACGCCGTCCTCGACAATCTCGTACCAACAAAGGCAATAAAAGCACCCAGTTGATGTTGCGACGGGTCAAGACGACACACACAATGGGCGTAGATGTGATCGACGGAACTGTGGTGGGGGTGATCCACTGGCACAGAATCACTGCAGGTACTTCTAGCAACTGGACAATTATACTGGCACACGTCATAGCCTGTCTGTCACTGCCGTGATGCCACGCCAAAGTGGGGACAAGTTTAAATAGGGACAAAACGGACAAGGCAGGTCCGAACCTCACGCCTCGGTGGTCTCCCTTCTATCGTCAATCTCATTTTTGTCCGCATGAAAAAAAAAAAACGTTTGTGTTAATTTTCAGAATATGATACTCTTGCAAGTCATACACGTCCATATAGATAGATTAACTCTTTTTTTTCTCTCTCTTTTTTTTTTTTTAAGTCAGCATACAAGGTAAGCTAGGTGACTATATATGAAGACAACGACTAGAACTTTCACAGCACTGGCATTGGTTAATCTTAAATACAGTACTCAAGCATTGTTAGATGAAGAAAAGAACAGAATAAAAGAAAGAAACATAATACCCCTGAAAACAAATAAGCTACAAGTTGGTTTCGCTCATCTAAAATGTTTCTTTTGTATTTCAATTGCATGATGTACATATTTGCGTTAACCATACCAACAAACATGAATCTTGTGGGAAATGTGTTGGACTTGCCTTCAATTAATACAGGACCATGCATATCGCTTGTTGATTTGTTTTCTTTTTCTTCTTCTTCTTCTTCTTTTTTTTTTTTTTAAACCAAGACTCAACTTGTCACAAATGTGTGGAGATAGTGTTGTCTTCACATAGACTGCTTTTAGTCGCTCGCTTCATGGTGCACATCCACCCTATTGCATGTTGACAGGTTATGCAGGATACAGTGGCCATCGTGGGGTAACTCTAAAGGTTGGCTGGGTTTGGTGTGTGTGTGTGTGTGAGGAGGGGATTAGTTACATTTTGGGCTCAGGCAGGGGGTGGTGAGGGGCCAGGCGGCCGAGAAAGAGAGAGAGAGGGGGAGAAAGGGGATGTCAGCTCCTGGACGACAGCCTTTGAATCCGTGCAGACCTGAGTGGTGGTGCCTGAGTTAGTCTGTTTAATGTCCGTCCTCCCTCCCGCAGGCTTCGGTGCTCTACGAACACAAAGCAAATTGCGTTACTGTCTGGCAGGGCCGAGAATTTGTCTGACCTGCCCTTGGGTACGCTGCCTCGTCCTTCAGTTTCGAATGGAAGTGAAAACAAAGATGTCACAAGTTGGTGCAGGGACTGATACGTGAAAGGGAAAATGGTGGATAGCGGCAACTCAAGAGTCACTTCTGAGGCCATACAAGTCAACAAAAATTGCAAACCAAAAAAAGACCCACTAAAAGTCTCAGCAACCCCCTGAGCCCCCCATTGTGACTGTTTAGGAAGTCAGTGTCAGAACTCTAACAGGTGGGACGGTGCAAGTGATTAAACACCCAAAAGAGATCAAATATTCAACAGAAAGTGTATTTATCTTATCATGATTTAAAATATCTGTATTTTTTTCAGAATTAATATTGGGTACCACCACATTGGCATTTTCAATACATTTTGTCAGGTGTTAAATGTGCGCAAAACCTTGCCTGTGTATCATTTCTATTTCCGTGATGGGAACATGTCATTGCTGAGATACGTTTCACTCTATTTTCTTTTTGATTGTGGTAGTTTTGTGAGCCCAGTGACCAAAAATGTGAACTGGGTCGGTAAATGCCCAAAAGGGTGTGAAATAAGTCACTGACGATTAATTACAGTCCTATTTTGTATTTTTTTTTTTTTTGCTGTGATGATGACGTAAATGAAGTTGTCTTTCCTCACTTTCTCATTGTTTCAGTCTTCTGCTCCTAGATGGGAACTGCAAGAAAACAGCCCTGCACAAACTTTTCTTTTTTTTTTTCCCAGGGCACACCTACTAGGAAAATATTCCAGAAATGATGGACAGGGATTTCCTCATCCTCTTTCCTTTCCTAACGTGCTCATCACGGAAGGGTTTGAGGAACGGGGGAAGTTAGGAGGAGAAAGCCCTCGTTCCTGTGGACTTGGATGTGACATTGTGCCGAGTACACGCATAGCGGTTCCCTATGGAAGAACGCTGACGGGATATGGAAGGGGAAGTGGACCGAGACACTTCACGAGAGCGGCTCAGACGGCTCAGGCGAGTGATGTTCCGTACCTTGACGGGGCCATCCACCGGGTCCAGTCCCTGCTCGGACAGCTGTTTCAAGGCACTTAGAGCAGCCTGAGAAGAGAAGGAAGAACAGATGGTCGAGTGAATGCGCAGGGAAGAAGAGCGCGATGGAGTGGGAGGAGAGTGAGTGTCACCCTTCAGCTGCTTTTCAAATAACACTTAACTCTGGGAAAGACAATGCCAGCAGGACACTTTCCCTTCACTCCGTGTTGTCTTTGGCTCCTCCGTTCTCACTGTTTGTCTAGCGTTATTGGCTTAACATTTCCACTTGATGTTCTTGCTGCCAAGTCAATAGGAGCGAGCGACATCTGTATCCCTGAATGTCACACCTAAATAAAGAGCAGCGGCGAAAGGAACAACTAACTTTTGAAGAGTCCATACTGCAGGAGCTTCAATTAAGTGTAAATAACGTTTGGCTTAAGACTTGAGTGATTTCAATGAATTCTGCCACTCTCGGCTTGACAGCACACCTTGTGGGCCAGCCACTGAATCAAACCGCAAATTGAAACCACTTGAGGGCCACTTATAGAAAGGGGCTCCTTAAGTGTGCCAAGATAAACGGGGCCCATCTGATGTTGTCCAGGTTCTGTCATGACGCACATCCTCTCTATCCCAATGAACCGGTCCAGATGAGCTGGCATTTTCCCCGTTCCCAACGCTGAGTGTGGGCTGAGGCGGCGCGGTCAGGGAATGTAACTCCCAGTTGAGCAAGATGCCACAGGATCCGGGCACGGTGGAGCACATTCGACATCTGTCTCCCTTGTACGTGCATTGCATACGCATCATTGAGGTAGGAGATGAGATGTATGTTAACACCACCCGTTTATTTTAAGTTCCTTTCAACACTCCTGTTTTCACGCTTTACCGTTTTGACATAGGAGCATCAGGCGGCTATTTGCGTCGGCAAAAGGAGCACTGGTAATGACACAGCTTGGATCATTTAGACTCGTCACTGCTCGATCAGAGTTGAGATAAGAAATGAGTGGCTCTGCTCAACAGATGAGTGGCCAAGTGATAAATGGATGAGCCAAGCATACAGACCACCCACATTAGCCAGGATACAATCTTAATGTACGGCCCTGAAAAAAAAAAAGCCTTCTCAACATGCATTCCGACACTAAACACACTTCTTCACATCTGAATTATAAAGATACATTCACTATGAGATACCCAATAGAGTACAGTACAAGGTGCACCAACGTGGCTCCATGGAATGCAATGCAACTAGGGAGGATAACAGCAATTATCGTCTGTAAAGCTTGAGTAAGAACCCCCCCCCCAAAAAAAAAAAAAAAAAATGGTGTTTGACTTTAGATTATGAGAGTCCTAATGCAGGAATGACAATTTATGACTGAAGGAAGCATAGGTCAAAATCTGGATTTTATCCATCAAACTGACAAAACCAAATCTGCAATGCCTGCAACAACACAGCAAGACAGGTTTGAGAAATTGTACTGTTGGGATTTTATTTTTGGGAATGAAAAAGAAAATCACTGGAATTCCGTTTTTCTCATGACAAAGATAGTCACCCAATTTTTGGATGCTTGGATTTCAACAATGAACAGGAAGATCCAGTTAAAGTAATATTTATCAAGTGCATAAGTAATTGTCATCGAAACTAACTTCTTGGGTTTTTTTTTGCATTTATTGAAATAGGTTTGGGAACTTTTTCTCCTTGGGTAAATAGCTGCGGCCCATCTGTTTTGGGCTGTGTGGGGGTGTGTGGAGATAAACAGCCATAAATCAGAGGTCTGACGGTGGCAGAGCTGCTGATATACGACAGGCAGGCATAAGGGCCAAGGCAGTCAGCCTATGGCCTAGAAGCTCAACAGAGCCCGGGACAAATACTGGGCCTATCTCTGGGAATGGAAGCCAATGATCCCCTTAAGCGTAGATCTACAAGGACAATGAACACATTAAGATATAATATACAAAAACAAACGACCAAAAAAAAACCCTTGCCAAGAAATTGCACGCATGCTTGATGGTCAATTGCATTGCATACGGCATTTTACTCAGACAACCAGAGACACCCCACCAAAAAAAAAAAAAAAAAAAAAAATCTTTGTTCATGATTGGATGTGCTTGATGGGACAACTTGCACAAAACCGAAGTGAGCCCTATTAAGTCCCTCTTCAGCCTCACTCTCCTTCCACACTCCAACTTCAGATAACAAACCGGCACTCACCCCGTCCGTGCCCACCTCACACATTGGCTCATTCATCCATCTATTTCGCTTCTCGTAGTTCAAAGGCTCGGACAAGCAAGCAGTCAAACGGACCGCCGCCGTCTGAGGACGATCTGCAACTATAGCCGAGTTTCTGATGCGGAGTGACAAGAGCGGCTCATTTTTCTGGGCCTGCTGCTCTGTTAATGGCTTCCCCAACAGAGGCTTTGATTCCATCAACGGCTTAGCCAAACAAAAGCCCAGTCTCCCAGGAGTCCGATGCATCGGCCCGACGGATCTAATGGATTGTTAGATCACATTGACCCAGACAAATCGGACTCCCGTGTCAGTTCTCGCCGCAGGACCGCTGGGTTCTAGTCAAGCGTGAGGAGAAATATGGCCGGCCGAGGAGATGGGAAGACAGCGGAGAAAAAAAATCTTGGATTGCAAATATTTTAGAAAATAAAGAGAATGTGCAATTCTTTCATATTCATTCCAAGCCTCTTTGGACCTCAAAAGCAACATTTCCAAAAAGAAGTACACATCAATTTGCTCGTCTGCTGTGTGTTGGGAATGGAAACCCTGAACAAGCATGTGCTACCACCGCAAGGATTTAAGGTTGGATGGCGATGGGAGTAAACAGGTAAGAAAATAATAAAGACAAATGGGACACGGTACAGTAGTGTGAACAACAAACACAAATGGCTTTCGAATTCTGCTGTGTATTTGCCACTGCCCCAGATGTCACTTTGTTTTATTCAAATTGCATTCTTCATTTCCTGGGTCCACACATAAATAGAACATTCACTCCTGGCTTATCAATAGACAGAATTACAGTCATTCCAGTCAATGGGTGCGGAAAAATGGGAGGGTGCGGGGACAACGCAACGTGTATAGGACCGAATTGCAGCGATTGGTGGAAATTTAGCTAATGATACCCACCATCTACCTATTCTATTTTTCTGGCCTGCAGTTGCCTTCCAGTTACGAGTCTGCTGCCACTTTTTTCTACTTGCAGACACCAGTCAGAGGTTTCATCCACCGACCCAGCCTTTGATAATGGGCACCAGATCCACAAGGATTGGGTCTCATAAAACCCATCCCTGACTTTTGATCCGGGCCAAGACTGTCAGTGAAAGACTCCCATCATGCGAATCATAATACACGAGGGAGCGTGATGGCGCTGCTCTCACAGGCCGCCGACTCTCAGTGCCTGGAAGTGACTCCAGACATCAGTGACATCGAGAGTCATCTCGGGGTTGATGAAACAG